TTCAGACTTGAGTCATGGCGGATGCCAGCATGATCCCAAGAGAAATTTTGGTTTCTAGAGTCTCGGAAATGCAATTTTCAGAATTTTAGAATGGACAAAAAAATAAATTAAGTAAAAAGCCATTAAAGTAGGTACAATTGCATTTATCTCTTATTCACCTTTTGTGTCCAATTCTTGAATATAGTCATAAAAAAATTTGTGGACATTTATTTGCAATTGCTTTTTGTTGCTTCCTTCAGGGCTAAACTCTACAGTCACATTTTCCAGAACCATGTCTGCAGTCAAGCAAAAATTAGCAACACCATCCAGTGTAAGAATTGTTGGCATTATCTCCTGGTGGCTTTGATTTTGCTGCAAAACCCCAAAAAGTGTAAGACCAGTTTTTAATTGGTCCATCATTGCCAGCATATGTCCAATTCCTGCCATTACAATCGACCTACAACAAAAGATATTGATGCGTCAAAAAAGATGAACAACGTAGATTGAACTGTACGTATGAAAACATGACCATGGTTTTATACCGAATAATGTTGTCTAGTGAGGCCAATTTCTCCTTAGAGGGAGCACCCCTGTAGCCAATTGATTGCAGAATGCTCATCATGTCATCTGAGCAAAGCAATGTCCTCAGCTCTTCATCACTTTCACATTTAACTAACTGAATGTAATTAAGAATGCTATGGTAATAAGTAATAAGTAGAACAAATGAGAATTCAATTTTTTCTATTCTTTAAGCACAGCTTTGAGATATTTCAAAGTGAAATTTTCTTGCTTTTCTTAATGAGTGCATATTTTTTCCTTTTCAATTTCATCTTTGAAATTAGAATCATGAACAAACTCCAACCAGTCGTTGGACTGTATGCTGTTTACCCCTTCAGCCATATAATTAAATACATTCTATGCAAAGAAGCATCAGGCTGGTCCTCCCTGGGCGAGAGAGGTTGATTTTAATTCACCAGCAACCATGAAGTCTTCATATGCTAGTGCTCGTGCACTAAACAGTGGATAACCATTTGCATCAAACAAAGTTGACTTAATGTGTCATAGGACATCTATCTTTGATGGAACAGACTTAGCACTAAACAATGTATAAAACATACATTCAAACTACTACTTATTGGTTTCTTTGGGCAGTTGTACGGTATGAATTGAAAAAATCTTCACTGATTTTCTCACCTCTGAGAAACTCCCTCCTTGGCTCAGCACCATCAATAGAAGGTTAACCAGAAAACAAATTTTAAGACTTCCTCCTTCAGCAAACCACTAATCACAATGACTTTCCGTTTTCATAGGATGTGTCACAAACTATATACGTCATTGATTAGTCATATATATACTTAGATATGACGTGAGATAAACACATTTCATTGAAACTAAAGCAACCCAAAATTTATGGATGCATAACATACATGAACTTGAATGGTATCATTTATAAAAACCCAGTTGCTTTATTGTTCCTTTTAACTCTTTTATGGTGAAAATTTCTTAAGTGTATACTGATGACATCTATATGTCACCATAGTGCCGCTCATTACGATGAACAAAGTTCTATCAAGTATCACAGCGTTTCATCCTCGTATCATACGTACGCTTATCGTTCATGCATTATACGCTCATCATACGCGTATCCTTTTCGTATCATACATGTATCATTCTCGTATCATACGCGTATCCTTTTCGTATCATACGCGTATCGTTCTCGTATCATACGCGTATGTTTTCGTATCATACGCGTATCATATGTTAACAAATACGCGAGCGGTACTGTATTTACCCCTTCAGCCATATAATTAAATACATTCTTTGGCAAAAAGCACGAGGCTGGTCCTCCCTGGGCCAGAGAGGATGATATTAATTTACCAGCAACCATAAACCCTTCATTTGCTAGTGCTCGTGCACTAAACAGTGGATAACCATTTGCATCAAACAAAGTTGACTTAATGTGTTGTAGGACATCTATCAATACAATGGAACAGACTTAGCATTAAACAAGGTATAAAACAAACATTCAAACTACTACATATTGATTTCTTTGCACAGTTGTACAGTATGAATTGAAAAAATCTTCACTGATTTTCTCACCTGTGAAAAACTCCCTCCTAGGGCCACCACCATCAATAGAAGGTTCACCAGCAAAACAAATTTTAAGACTCCTCCTTCAACAAACCATTTCCGTTTCGGTGCATCCACATAATCTGCAAAAGCTAATCGCCTATGAATGGTAACTCTGTTGGTCGACATCCTGTTAACATTGTCCTGAAACAGTTGAACCACTTCTTGCATAGTGGCAACAGTTGGCTGTCCAGTTTCCTCTTCAGTCATGAGTGTTTTTCTAGGTTATTAGATCATCATCTGATAACTTGGCATTTGGGTCTATCCTCCTTTCTGCACAAATGTCTGCATGAGCTTCTATGTCTGCAATTGAATAGTATCCTAGACATGTAGGGTATTGATGTTGCAATAGATATTTTTCTATTCCATGCTGAGACACTTGTCCCTGTGACACAAACTTGTCCCTGTGACACAAACTTGAGACGTTGAGGTAAATGAACTTTGAGAAGACAAAGAAGAGGATTGGAGGATTTTATTATTTGCAACTTCCTTGAAATCCCCACAACCTGTTGTGGCTAATGACTTTGATGTTGAAGGATAAAACTCATGCTACTTCATCTAAATCTCTTCAAGTTCCTTGTCAGAACTTTCCTCAGAAATTGAATTTTCAAAATCATCTATTGTACATAGCCAGAAATACATTTTGGAGTATGGGAATAACAAATCTTCTTTATATTTTGAATGCAAAAATAGTATGTTGTTCTGGGGTAAATACCTCACAATTGACATGTCATTATACAAAAGAACATATTTTTTATACTTGTTAAATTGTTCATGATGTCTTGAATGTTTATGAATTGCTTTTTTAAGAAGAGCATTTCTATCAACATCTTCATCAACTCCAATTGTTATTGTTCTTGACTTCACCCTTACCAATACACCATCTCCATTTTTGTCTTTCACAATGCCAACCTGCACCTTCACCTCTTTAGACAACTTTGCTTTTTTCCCGCCATGTTTTGGCTTAAATTTTGATGATCTGTCTTCATCTTTCTTCTTACGGAACTCTTCAAATGAAAGGGGCTTTACTACAATGGTCTTGCTGGGAGGTTTTGAGCCTATTTCTGTGTTTAAATACAGTTTGAAATATATTGTTACAGAAAATAATACAATAGCCAAAAATATGAGAAAACATATCAGAAGAATAGGGATAGATAAGAAGATTATAAATAAATAAAAAAGAGAATGAACAACTTCCATTTTATAATTGAACGAACGTGAGTGCACTTGTATTTTATAAACTGTAAGATTGTATACTTACCGACATCTGATAATGCACAAAATCCACAGTTGTGGTAAAATTTAGGTTTATCCAACAGCTTTGCTCCACAACTTTGGCCGAACGTTATGCCATAAAAATTACACTTTCAGACTCCTGCTTTATTAGATTCTTGATAAGATTTACCAAATAGATTTTCTGAAAACTTCAAGTAATTGCATTATATTCAACTCATGCGCGCGCACAAGTTTGAACGTTGCACCGAGAATAAGCAATATTGTTAAGGCGAAGCAACAAATGTTCCATGGACAACATAGTATTTTGTGTGGAAATATTAAATGTTCTATGAAAAACATAATATTTTGCATGGAGGTATTGTGCCATTTGTGGCCCACCATACTTTTAGTATATAATATATTCGTCTTGAATCCAGAACTTCTGTGGCTTGGAAACTGTCTACAACTATCGCACTATGCTTTCACTAGTAAGTGTAGAATGCTCAGTTATCGTGAGTATTCTGCTATATTTACAGGACTAATGTAAAGATATTACTACAGCATGTAAAGTTGTTCTTATTGTTGGCTGACTTACAATTAAACTCACTGGAGATTGCTTCTTTCATTTTTTAGCCATGGCAACTAAGTTTTGATTTACCCAAAGGCCGGTAATGAGAGGTCTGGAGAGAGTTAGACGGATGAGTAAGAACTACGAATTAAAACGACTAGAAAAAATCAAGAGTCTAGCGGCATTACCTACAATAAAGCAAGACTTTGTGTACTTGAACTTTGCCCATAGCTACATTAGAGTGCTGTAGTTATGTGATGTATTCATTTAGCTTTTAATGATGCAAAGAATAGAATTATGAACAATTCCTAGGCACTTTTCAGCATTTACGTGTTCACACCTGAACTCTTGGAGTGTATGAACAAGAATAATCACAATAGAAATTTTCTACGTTTCTTTATAGCAAGTACATCTAACTTCGAATATAATGATGTTTGCCTGTAGTATTAGGTTCCCTCGATCGCTTGTGTGAACAATGGCGTGGCCAGCACGTTAATTTACTCGTGTTATTTTCAAACATTTTAGTTGGTCACTCAATATAAAAACAATTAATATATAAATAAATAAAAAATGATAATGATCTAGTCGCACACTCAATGAGTGCAACATAAAAGTACCGCTCTCTCTAATCAAGGGCAACGACAATAGCGATGGCAGGATGAATAATAAATAAATTTAAATCAATCAAGCAATCATGTATTGAAAATATCGTTGTTGAACAGCTATAAGGAGATTTTGAAGTCCACTAGGTGAGTAAGTGTATAAGACCTTAGCCATTTCATTATAATTCGTTCATTGGATCTTTCCAAGAGAGATATTTAACTTTTTTCCATATAGCATAAAGAACTTAAAAAGATTATCAATTTTCAATATCGTTAGAACGTTTTATAAATCAATAAAACAGTTAAATGAATGTGTAGATAAACAATTGTAAACTCTTGACAAAAACTAGTTTTTCCTTATGTGAATCATGCAAAGTAATGTCAAAACGATTCGTTTGCATATTTAAGCAAAAGTACATATCTCAAAAAAAATAAGGTAACACAATTCTTTTAAAGAATTTATTCATTATTTTTAAATTGCCTTTATAATGAAATAAAAAAGTACCATGGCAAAATTTGGTGTTGTAAACTATTCGAGTATTAATGACGCTTGCCTGTAGTAGTCGTTTTCCTCGCTTGTGTAGACTGTGGGGTAGACAGCACGTTTATGTACAAAGGTAATGCGAATGTTTTGGTTGTAAAAACGATGAATATTTGAGTGTATAACTGAATAATTATTTTGATCTTAAATTTACCAAAGTAGCACGCTAGCTACCCTGACTGAATGTAGCATAAACTAATAATATGACGGATTCTGGAATGCGGTCACAATCTAATTTATAATCATCTTATGTTATGGAGGTCAAAAGGTAAGTAGAATTATATTATTAATTTCCTTCGTTAATGTTTGTAAAAAGGTAAATGTTAACAAGCGATGCTGTAATTGACTAAAGTTCTTGCGTGTTTCCTGCTTTTTTACTATCTATGATCTACATGTTCTGTTAAAGAATGACGTCACACCATTCCTCAGATCTATACTGGAATGTCTACTGTTTGAAGGCACATGCGCACAACAACTCATCTTCATATATAAGTGAGGCATATCCTCTGCTGTTTTCCTCTTAAATAGATATAAATTTGAAAAAGGACTTGATGAGCGCATTTTCGTCATTTATTCACTAAACTGGAACGTTAATTATATGCACTCAAGTAGTGGCGTATAATTAATTATGTATTTATAATTATATACTTCAAGTAGAACTGTTTTGAAGCATGCCTTATTTGGTGGAAAGATTATTTTTGGCACTTTCTACTAATTTATTTTGTTATCTTGTTTGAACTCACAAAAGCTACCATCATTTTCCTCTTAAAAAATTCTGTGGAAGTTAGGTTTGCGGTTGGTTAATGCTGCTCCGTAATTTTGTTGACCAATTTAACTTGCATGCGAAGAAAATCGTTGAATTCAATTTGTACGTGATCAGGATATACTTTCTTTCAGCAGCAAAGTTATCGAACCTTCTGTTTGATATCCTCTCACTTATAATAAGATTCAAGTCAATAATAAAGAAGCTCTTGAGAGATTGCCTATTATTTGGCATAATACAGCCAATCAAATTCGATCTTGATTGATGATTTTTGATCCGTTTCCATAGTTGCACAGTTGATTTGTCAAGAGCAGATTTACATATCTAAAATATTGGATAAAATTGTCCCATTTTTTAGTTTCAATGTGATTTTATTTGTAATCAACAGATAGGTGATCCAAAGGATGCCGTACGAAAGATGATCCGTGCCCTGCTGAAATGGGTGACAAAAATCTACCCGGCCAGTAAATTATTTAACTTCCTGGCGGATGGACTCAGGTCGAAGAACGCAAAACACGCACGGAATGTTTAGGAGAGATTGCTTACTTAATTAGCGTATACGGTGAGAACGTGTGTCAGCCAAGTCCCGCGAAAGCGCTTCCCGCCATTGCTGCACAGATCGCTGACCGAGATAACAGCGTAAGGAATGCTGCACTCAATGCCATCGTCGAGGTTTACAATCTAGTTGGTGAAACAGTCTATAAATATATTGGAAGGGTGAGTGTAGTAATCATATATACAACACGATTGTCTTTCAACAGTTGGTTTGAAGTATACTGCCAATCACAGTTCTCTTTTCATTCCATCGAGATCATGATGCGGTATGTGCTGTTGATTACATACGTTCAATTTCCACGTCCTGTTTACATCTTAATTATTCTTTTTGATATATCCGAACAGATATCTTTCCAGCAAATGATTAGTAAAAATCAGGGATAAATTTGCCCTAATGTTTGTGGTTTCAGAAAAATTAAGTAATTCATAATTGTCGACAGTAAAATTTTCCCTCTTGCACAATAGAGGATTTTTAGCACCACATTCACTCCATATCTATTGAGCATGTGAAACAAAGTTAAAGTTTTTGTATTCGCTGTCACGTCTGTTTTGTGCTATGTTTTATAAACTTGAAGAACTAAGGTTTACGTTCTTCACTTTGTGAGATTGAACTTTGATATTTTGATTTTCTGGTCTTTATGCAATTGTTATCGTAAAGCACGTTCGTGAACTTTTTTTATTAATCTTGTAACCTCTTTGAAAACTGTATTTTAGGTCGTCGCTTTGCTTTCCATCAATATTTCTCATATGTAAAGCGTTTACAGGCTTTTTCCAGAGGATTTTACCTATAAAATGAAAATGGTATTAAAAGAAAATTTATAAAACAGGGTGTTATGTTCTCCGTTCTAGATATCTGAGAAAGATCAAAGTTTGTTGGACGAACGCATCCGTCGAGCGGGTAAATCCAAAACTGCTCTGACTGAACGGGCTAAAGCAACCAGTCAGTCAACAAAGAAAGCCAGTGAAACTGTCGCTACTGTTGAGAAACCATCAAAATCAGCTAATACAACTCAAAGCAAGTATGTAGTCCTGTCTTCCTAAAACTTAGCAAAGATATATGTTTCATTTGTTTGAGCTCAAGTGCCATGTTTACAAGGGTTTAATCGAAATTATTTAATTTTTTGTGAGTTATACCATAATGCAATGCGTGGCGCGATCTTTGTGATTGCAACCCAGAGTTTCTCATTAATAATTTTCTTTGAGGTGTTGTCATTTTATTTGGTTTCAAGTAAGATTAGCTTACATGCCGAGAGCTCAGCGTTTTCTTTGTTAATTAAAGTAGCTGTTTTCCATCAGGCAAAAAATTTAAATTCGGTTTGAGGGGGACTGGGTTGGACCTAGAATTCCCGAGGGTTAGGTATTAAGTTAATCAAGCCCAGGTTTCGGTGCTGCAACTAAATTTGTTTAGTTCATTAATATTTTTAAGCAGCCATCTTATTTTGTGGTGGTGAAGTTCGTTGTATCTTGAAGATAATGTGTGGTTGCAAATAGGTTGAACTTCATTATTGTTGTGACGACATCTTTTTAAAGTATTTGCTTGTTTAACATCTTGTGCCTCTTCAGTCCTTTTTGTTTCGCATATTCATGAATTTAGAATAGAAAGGAAAATCCATTCAAACTCAGTTTGTTAAAAGTTATTTTTAAACTCGGATTACTATAGTGCTGTTCTGTATAGCCAGAAAGCTTCGAATTATTTCCATGAATTTTAGATCGATTTCAGCAAAAGTTGAGCCTGCTGTCCAACAGTACTTTTCATTGGATTTCGATCAAATCGAGGCGGGATCAGGAAAATCAAGCAATGCGTTACCATCTTTAGTGACCAATGACGACGTAAATGATTTATTAAATGAACCCGTACCTTCATTGCCTAGAATAACGAGGTAAGGGGAAAATTTTTTTGTGTTTGAAGTTGGTTTTGTACGTGAAGATAATCTTTTGAGCGGACCTTGTGTAAGGTGAAGACAGGCAGATTAGACCCATGGAATAGTCTTACACCCTGACACACATGTGTAGTGTTTCCAGATTCTCTTGCGGGATGGCAATTTATTGAAGTCGTGCATTTTTTTGCCGAGAAAATCATTAAAAAAGAATTGGTGTTTATTTCAAAAAATATGAAAAGAGATATTTTCTTTCGCTCCCCTTTCCATATTTGTGTTTACATTTGATCATATTGACAAAAAAAACAATTGTTTTCTTTTTTCACTTACGTCACTACCGGCACACCTGTGTATCAGTCAGTCTTACTTACTGAAGGTTTTTTCCGGTCAGTTTTCGCATGTAAACAGTTTGAGGAGAGATAATCAAAGATAATCTGTTCTCTTCATTTTCTTTATATTACTCGTTTTTACTAAATTTTCGTATATGGATTAATAATAATGGATTTAGAGATTTCATTTATTGTAGATATAGCCACAGAAATGTAGTTATTCCAAGTAGCTATGTTTTGATATGTAGATAAAAAGTCACGGGATGTACTAATTTTATCTTTAGTGCCGTCTTGTTAACGAATCCCTTCCTTTATGTACTTTCCATCTTGTGTGGATTCACTTTTCTTGAATTTACGACGGGATTCAGCAAGTTCACTTTTCTTGAACTTACGACAGGATTCAGCAAGTTCATTTTTCTTGAACTTACGACACGATTCAGCAAGTTCACTTTTCTTGAACTTACGACACATCATATTTATTTATAGGAAGCATTTATGGTTGAAAGTTTGACTGCTGCTACGATATTCACGCCGTATTTATATGCTGTACTTATGTAGTCAAATCAAACATGTTATAGCCGTCATTTTCGGAGTCGCTTAACATGGCCAACCAAGCGCGAAAAGCATGACCCTGATACTCATTCTTTAATATTTTTTGTATGGTTTGTAGTTCATCGTCCAGTAGTCCAGGTCGTAAGATGTTCTCACCCAGCAGCTCTTCGGCGGCCGTTGATTATTGCGTATCTCAAATCGCGAGCAACGAAATCAAGATGGCCATTACGGCTTTGAAAGAATTGGATGATCACTTCAAGGATAAGGGGTCAGCGGTGTGGTTAAAACATCTCAATCAGGTAGGTTTAGATGAAAAACTTGGGTCAGCGGTTTGATTGAAACCTTTCAATCATATTCTTAGCACAGAATAAGAATATACAGAAGAGTCGCTCATGTCGGAATTTTTGTTGTTTTTGTTCCCGCGCATGGTGGCCACCATTATTCCAGCGAGATGATTAAGGTTTTTGACTCTTTTCAAACCTTTAAAAAAGATCCGAAGTCATTTCTTAACTCAAAATATACTTGAATTCATTATTAAGTATTGACGTCATGTAATTTTAATGGTTGGAAACAAGTGAGAAATCCTAATCATCTGGCTGGAGTAATGGCCTACATGAAGACACGTTGTACACCTGAGTGACCATTCTGTATAATCATTATTCTGTGTTCTTAGTGTAACAAATGTACTCATGAAGTGGCACAGTTTCAAACAATACAGCAATTTTCTTTATGCCTGTTTTGTGTGTTTTCTTATGAAATGACATAGGATCTTGATAATCAGATGTGGTTATAATTAGATCAATGATTAACTGTAAATTAGATTGCTCAGATCTAATAAGATGGGATTATAGTTGGATCAATGATTAACTGTAAATTAGATTGCTCAAATCTAATCAGAAGGGGGATATAATTGGATAAATGATTAACTGTAAATTAGATTGCTCGAATCTACTCAGATGGCTGTTATAATTGGATCAATGATTAACTGTAAATTAGATTGCTTGAATCTAATCAGATGGGGTTATAATTGGATCAATGATTAACTGTTAATTAGATTGCTCGAATCTAATCAGATGGGGGTTATAATTGGATCAATGATCACCTGTAAATTAGATTGCTCAAATCGTATATCTTTTTGCAAATTACATCCACGTTCCATTAACTCTATGCTCTATTATCCATCCGAACTGGGAATTCGATTCGTGACGTGACCTGCACGAAGTTCTTGGAACCAATCAAATCGTTTCATTCGTGAGTGTCATTAATGATACATAAAATGAAACCCGATTGTTGTAATATAATGCCACATGTGATATTGCATTGTCATGAACTTTCGTTGTGCCATTTAGCAACTATAACAATATGCAAACATAACCAAACACTGTTCTCAAGTAGCCTGAATGAACCCCTTGTTCATCATATATTTGATTTCCTTGCAGCTCTGTGGAGGACACTAGAGAAGAGGTCAAGGAGGGCTTGAGACCGCCCCCAGACCCCCCCCCCTCCCTTCTATAATTTTGGAAGATTAAAAATCTTGCGCCAAATCTCTTAAATCACACCTACACAACATAGCTGTAATATTAAATAATAACTATTTCAAAGACTTCAGTGCGGTAGACGTACCAGCAGATGCATTAAACTTTCTTGTGTGTGTAGGATTATTCGTATGTAGCAATCCTTAAATTAGATTTCTGGAGATCTAATTTTAAAAGTGGACCAATAGGTATGCGCTGGAATCTCCCTAGAAATCTCATGCCTTGAGGACGAGGCCCCCAATATTTCGTAAGTGTCTGCCGCTGATGCAGCTCGATTGCCGGCGTGTGTTTACAGTAAGAGCTGCCCTCCATATGGTGACATCGTCTGAACTCAGCGATTGCTTGAATTGTTTCATGTTTTTTTTTAGTTCCTCATTGCTTGTATTCTTCAACAACGCATGATTCTATCTACTCACATGTTATCGGATTCTCATCAAGAAGAAGACATAATAAACCTGTACAAAGCCATTTTTAGCTCCTACTTCACACTGTTCGCCGACTCAACGCTTGCTCGGGCGATACCGAAAGAGATTCTGAAGGATCTTATTCACGTGATGATAACGACTTTGTTGGACCAGAACTTAATAAAGCTTTACGAAGGTCCTCAGGTCATCCGATGCGTGAATAAACTGATGCTTAACATTACCGAGAAACCAAATAGAAATTATATACTGGGGTAGGTTAAATTATCGCAAGGTCGTTGCAAGGCAAGAGAGCAAGCACTACACTATAGAGCGAGGCTGAACATACCATTTGAAGTTCGCTATTTATGATGATTATGTGCCTTCAAAACGCTTAATGTTTGCATTGTTTGATGTTGGGATGAGTTATTTTAGATAGGGTTTTCGTGTTTCGTATTCGAACTTGACATCATGTTTACAAAAGAAATAAGTTTTGATAAAAACGTTGGTTTAGTGGGTCTACCAACCGTCTTTAGTGGAACATTGCAAAACCTTCTTTATGAGTTTTTTTACGGTTTTAAACACTTTTTTTGTACAAAATGAAACATAAGTCGATTGTTTCAACAAACTGAATGTAATGTCTTTCTTTAATTCAATATTTGGTTTTCTAAGGTTTTAGACCCTGTTTTTCTTTTACGAAAGAAAACACACACCGAATGTTTTAACTAAATGTTATATCTTTCTTGAATTCAATATTCGAGATAATGTAGAGTGAAATTAGTAATTTATTTATTATTTTTACTTAAACAAAAAAGTCTATTTCGCTCTTCGAAGTTGAATCAAAACGACCTACGTAGAAAAAGTATCTCAATTCCAAAGACTTCACCTGTTATTCAGAATTTGTTTTTGTATTTTAGCTCCTTGATTAAATTGCTTCAAGACAGCGTGACGCATTATTCTAGCGCTCCGCAGTTCATTGATCTCATAATGAAGGTTAGTCATTGCCATGTAACTCCATTATACGGCATTGGCCATGTCATGGAGAAATATTTGTGTTGTCCAGTTAACACAAACTTACGTCAATGTACTTCATGCATGCACAGTATACCCTAGGGCACTCATTCTTCTTTGTACATCAACCTATAAGCCCTTTTTACTTCACTCATATATAGTGCTTGCTTTATTTACTGCTTGCGTCGGCAAATATATGCTGGCAACTTGAACATGCAATTATTTGGTCAGCGTTCGCTACTAGTAAGCGCACTTGCGTGATACTTCTAACACTTTACTATAAAGTAGCATCGCGTGGCATCAGTAGTGTGAAACAGTGTGAATGAAGAACTAAAGTGTTCTGAAACATTTCTATAATGTTTTAGTGCTTATGGCGTGTAACGCGAAAACTACCTGTTACTATACAAGATCTTGATTTAAGTCAAGCTTTACTAGACATTCATCTATTCGTTGAAGCACACCCTACTTCAACATGGAAGCATCGTCCTGACGATACTCCATTGAAAACTATCAAAACCCTACTGCATTCTTTGATTCGAATAAAGGACAAGCAGGTATGTGACATCATTCTACGTTTTTTGGTTTAGAAAGTGAATTTTTTCCTTACCGTTTTTCACTTACGTCATGTGTAACTGAACATAATAGGATGTGTACGTTATATGTACATATAGCTAAATAATACTTTGTAAGTGACGTAATTTTATCGTTTAGATTTTAGATCATATAAATTTGATAGAGAATTCGGAGCAAAGTGAGATTTTCCTGTACATACGTGCGACGTTAAAATCCAGTCCACCCAAACAACAGGTCAAGAAACAGACGTCCGTACAAGATGAAAAATCGTCACGTGAACTCACGCCGCAAACGGTAAGTGAACTGTTGTCGCCTTCCTTGGTTAGAATTAAATAAGTGTGTGTCAACCAAGATGCATCGCGCGCTTTTGTTTATATTTACGTCGTTACTTTAGAGCTTGCTGCATACTGAATTCAATTTCGTCACTACGACGTCTAATTTAGCTATCTGAAATGTTGGCAAAAAACATAGATTAATTTATATGGCAGTGCTGTGAATAATTCCCTATTTTATATGAAATGTTAGCAAAAAAAACATTGATTAGAAACTCTATTTTACATTAATTATCATCGTTTGTCTAAGTTGCATGGACAACAATAACATAATTCACCATTTTCTCCACCCACAAAGTGACAGTCACGCAGTGATTAGCGCGCAATGCATCTTGGTTGACACACATTCTTTAAGTGTCATGTCGACGTTAGGTCATGTATAGTTTACGTCTTTCTTCTTGTTGAACTTATGTCAATGTTCATTGATAATTCTTCGATCTCTCTCAATCATAAAAACAAAAACTTTAGTCGCAATAATTATCTAACTATATCATCAAGGTTTATCAATGGTTGAAAGTACGGTTGATTCGATACTTCATTTAATAATTTATGTAAAAAGCGAATAATTAGAGTTTAGTGTTGGTGTCTGATTTACCATTCATGTTACTTAGGTAGGTTTTCAATGGATATTAATGAATATTTGGCCTCCAGCCTAGTTTCAATCACCACCACCCCTCCCCCTCTATTATTCCCCCTTTTAAAATGTACCGAAACCAGAATAAACTGTGAAGTCAATCTCACGATAGACTCACGACTAATACCATTGTTAATTATGCTTTTTTCGTTCGTGTAAGCATTAATTTGTTTAAAACTTGCAAATGTGAATGTTAAAATAGACACATGCTCTATTTAAAAACATACAAATTACATCACGTGTTACTTTTTTCAAAATGCACCTAAGCACGAACTGGATTGGCTGTATTTTGATAAATAAAATTAATAGTAAAACATTCGTTGAGTGAATTAGTACGCGCAAGCAATTTTGCGTGAGAACTTAATCAGCCCCCAGTCTCTTTTCAGATCCCTTTTCTAAAAATCTGCCACTTGAAAGGTAGTGGGAAAATATGTACCTTTAGGTAGATGAATTGTGGAACGGCGGTACAATTCATTTCATTACACATTTCCATGTGAACTTCGTATTGCATGGTTAAGTTCAGAAAGCACTCTTAAAGAATTTGAATAGCGCTTACTTCACTTATTAAATATAGAAATTCTTTATTCTGTCTATACAGCTCAATTGTTTGTGAAGTAGCTGATTTTACTACTCTAACTCGAGCGATTTTAGAATACAGAGCGCAGTTTTTATCATTTTTATATGTTGCTATAGTTTTATTCATTTTGTATGTTTTTCCTCTTAAAAGCCAATAACTCCGAAGATGAAAACACACAAGCTTAGTCAGGATATACACGACTCTCTTGGTGATATTTTTAAAAAGATTGGGACCAAGGAGACTACGAAAGAGGTACTATAGGATGCGCCTACTTTTTATAAATGAAATAACACATAATTTTGTGGCGAACACTTTATATATACTAAGCCCTTATTAATCGAGCACGAGATCTTTAAAGAGAAATATTAGACCATTTTTTTATATTAAAGTGTGGTATTTCTCTGTGATCTAACAAGCTTTAACTAAAAATTTAAGTACTTGGACTATATCATCGGGCTGACTTCTCCACTGATAGTGTACTGGTCATTCTTATAATGTACTTGAGAACTGTCGGTTGTTGATTTTATTAAATGAAGAAGCTTTGATTCTTATAGGGTCTCGTGGCTCTTTACAATTTTCGACTAAAGCATAGAGATGTGGACATAGAGCCTTTTCTCGAGCAAACGTCGGATTTCTTTCAAAAATTATCGCTCGAGGTCAACAAAACTAAAAACAGACCTTCGCAAGATTATACCACAGGAATCTATTCTACAAACAAACGATACTCACCCGGTTCAAACCATTTACTTTATAGCCGGATATAATTAATTTTCTTTCTAAAAAATGAAAGTTCGTTGTAACTTTTACTTTGGCATATGTCTCAAAAATTGTCCTATTCAGACTACATTTTTAATTAACATAACTTTGAAAGTACACTTTATCTTTTAATGACAGTTTTTTCATATCACTTTTCAATGTCAAGTTTTTGTACTTTATGTAATGTATGCTTTACACAACTTGTGACGTTGCATTACATTGAGAGAATTTGAAATGGCGGGTATATTTGCTTATATGTTCCTTAACCAAGCAGAGTTTCTTTTATTGTGAAGAATTAATGGTGCAAACAATTGTCTGATCATTTCAACCAAAAGTTGCCTTGAATTTGAAGGATGTTTTGAAAGTTTACAGCGAATCGTTGTGCAAAATGGCGTCAAAAGTTTTGTAAATCGGACATAATCGTGAGAGAGAAAAGAGATATGCATAAGCATAAAGCCTGTTTTCAACTAGCTACAATAGGTTATGATACGTGGCTAGTTAAAAACAGGCTTAGACTGCTTTGGGAAGTACACTGTCGTTTTCAAACTTCTGTTGAATGAAAAGATTATTTAAAAATTAGTATGTTCTGGTCAAATGCCCTTTATAAGGTGTTTTGCTTGCTGATGCGCCGTTAAGCTAATCGTGAATTACAGATGGCAAATTTGCCTTTAAACGTTTACATGGCCCGTTTCCACTTAAGAGAATTTTCCATGGAACGTATATATTTCCATGTTGTGCATGCTCTTACCTGACTAAATAGACAAAATTCAGACATTTGTACATGAATAAACATTCTGTTTTTTTCCACTTGAAAATTTGATCACGTCTTCTACCTTACTTAGCGCATGCGCAAAATGGAAAATTATACGTTTCGTGGAAAATTTTTTAGTGAAAACGGGCCTTTAGGTTTCATGTTGTACAGCGTGCGAATCGGAGCATGAATAGAAAGTGCAAAAACAAAGCGACATAGAATGTAACTTAAACATGTCAATTTTTACAGACCGAATGATTAACTTTTCTCACTGTTTTTTCCTTGGTCATACATTATCGAACTTCATAAATAAATCATTCAGTAGATTTAGTTTTCCATTGTTTTGTTAATTGAGATTATGTTTTTCCGTAATGTTTTAAAAACGAAAACACGAAATATGTGGTTTGTGTCAAATTTAATAAATATTTTATTTTGTTGTATAAACATTGAGAATGATAGCGTTTAATCAAATTTCAATGTTTTCTAGAAAATATCGAAGTGCGACAAACCGCCGCATCAACTACGGGTAAGTAAGACAATTTCATAAAAAGCCATTATGATTTGAATAACATATAAAAGATTCTTTAATCAAAATAACATAATTTCCGAAATTTATGGGAAAGTCGTCATTGTCATGCATCCCCTCATTTCTCTTTTATATTTAAAGAAATATTTTCTCGTGAATCATTATAATTTACTTTCGATTCTTCACTAACTTTGGACAAAATTGCAGTCGACAGTTTTAACCCCAAAATTCTTCTCCCGAATCTCGAGAAACATTCACAGTCAAAAGTTCAACTTTCCTTTTCCACACACGTTTATAGCATTGTTAAATCTGCTGAATTTTTCCCCCTCAATGCAAATTTTTCAGCGAAGTTCTTCGTTTCTACAAAAGAGAAAAATTGCATTTAATGTTTCGTTATAATGAATAGACACAAAATTATTTACATAGTATAGGTAAAAAAGTGTAGCTTTGCATGGCATTTGCTTGTGTAAACTGGCCATTGGTGTTTCTTCTGTTGCATCGTTCAGTTAAATCTATACCGTAATGCTTTGCGTCAATTATTCCTAAACAACGCATTTAATCTTTTTTTGTTTCATATGTTTTGTTCATAGATCGACCTTTTGTATTTAGAAGACCCATCCTACTTTCGTGATCGGCTTGCTTTATTGCAGAAAAAATATGGAAATATTCGCGCAAAGGAGGTAAACAAGTGATTACGTAGCCATGTTTGCCTGGATTAGCACGTGATTACTTAGCCATGTTCACATGGATAGTCTAATGATTACATAACCGTATTCAAGAGGATCAAACTTTTATATGTACCTGCAAGGTGCCGACAATTTTTTCACAAAATTAGCGCTTAAATGAAGTATTCCTTATTGTTTCACAAAGAATTGCTGTTGTTTTCCAAGGGTTTGTCTATCAATTGATGTGCGCTGCCATTCACAGTGAACGTCTGGAAACATATGGTTGCTCCTTTCCTATTATCCTTACATCATCGAAAACTAGCCCGACATCCTTTACATTTTTATGATTTCATAATATTTTTTTTTCTTTCAGCCAGAAAAACAATACAGCCAGATCCAATTGCAGTGAAAAAAACACCCGAAGGCTTGGAAACTGTCGACAATAGCCTCATTCTGCTGACTTCAATAGTTAGTGTAGAATGCTCCGTTAAAATTTATTTTAGTGTTCTGTTTGAAATGGAAATCATTCTTCATTTTCATTTAACTTTTTCCTCCTGTCCCCCCCCCTCACTGAATTTTGACAATTCGTTAGGGAATAGTCTCAGAATAATTTTTTTTAGTTTAATTTGATCAGCGTGACTTTGGTGTTATCAGACAGTTGTTATTTAGGATTTATAGAAATATTTGACTAGAACCTCTTAAGTTGTTATTGTCTGCTAACTTACAATTAAAGCGACTTGAGTGCGCTTTTTCCATTTTGTAGCCAAAACCACAAAGTGCTGATATGGAAGCCGGCTATGAGAGGTCGGGAGAGAGTTCGACGGATCTTTCAGAACTACGTAAGCGACTCGAGAAAATCAAGAAGAAAGCTTTATAGCTAAAATCAGTTGTCTTACCTATTTTTAAGTAAATTGATATAAATGGCTTTGTTCATTCAAATATTTTTGGTTATATTTAAATTATAGTGCTACAGTTATGTTATATGTTCATTGTTTAGTTTGTAATGATGCAAGGAATAAAATTGAGATCAATACCAATGCACCTTAACTTTCTTAACAATGAACTCTCGAGAATGTGCAACCCTCGTGCTTCGATCTCGGTCTTGCACTGATCTGCTCTCGAGTTCTTCCAAAGGTCTCCTCGGTTTGCAAAAGCCTGTGCAAACACAGTAAACATCTTTTATTTCTTAACTAGTGTTTAAGAATTTTCAATTATTTTCCATTCCCGTCGCTAAAGAATGCTATTAACATATACAAAAATTGTGCGCCTTGAATTAATTTAAAACTGGTAAACTAAGTTCTAAACGATAAATTGCGTAGTAATGTTGATTAAACCTGCAAATTAGCCTCTAAGTTAACTTAAAAATGTTTTTGGGCTTAGTCCAGCTGAGTAAGATTGCGTAACCTTTCTCGCTCATTTTCAGTAAGTTTGTCAGCAGCTCTGTCCATGAGATGCGAAGGAAAATCCAAGTGGCGCAAATTTCTACAATCTAGGGCTTGACGTAAAGCGTTCATATCCAATGCAGGATTGCCTTTAATATCAAGTATCTTCAGATTTTCCAATTTTGACAACGAACCGGGATCAATGTCTTGGAGTTTGTTGTCGCTAACCTTGAGGACAGAAAGACTTTTCAAATTTGAAATGCCATCAGTAATCCTCTTTATGAGGTTTCCATTGAGATGGAGCTCCTCGAGCCATGCCATGCTAAACACTTTCTCTGGAATCAAATCGAGGCCACACTCCACAATGAATAAACATTTCAGTCTGATGAGCTTCTGGAAGTTATCAAAATCATTAACTTCAAGATAACACTTTCTAAATTCAAGGTTCAAAAGGTTTTCGGAAATCATAGGATCAAAAATCGTACTAGGAAGTCCTGGAAGATGAGATAAAGACAATTTTCCTTCATGGTCTAAATTGGTTTCTAGAACTGCAACAGGATATATATCATCCAAATTCTTCCTCATGCTTTTGAAAAGAAAATGAGCGAACCTAATGACGTACATTTTATTGTAGACGTGCAACAAATGAAGAAGAAAACCAAGATCTCCATCCTCTGGATGTATTTGTGATAACTGATTACCACTTCGTTGACGTATTTGATTGGAAAAATCATATTTGCATTTCTTACATAGCAACACAAATGTCCAACAAAATAATATAAGGAACATCACTCCACTCAATGCCAAAAGCGTAACATAAACATAAACAATACAATACATGGCCGGAGCAAGGTTATGGGAACATAGAAAATAATCTTGAGGAATGGGAATGTGCTGAGTCAGTGTACACGTCATCGTGTCTTTTATATGTTTCAAGAAATAAAAATTAATGAAGAGAAATATTATTACTGAAATGAATTGAAGCCCACTTTTCAATGTATAGAGATTCGAAACTTTTGTAATGCAATGAGATGTTGATATGTCTTCCTTAAGCATTTGCACTTTCTCATACAAACCAAGTAACGCATTCGTATTTTCTGGAGAAAAATCGGCATCATTGCATTGATCTGTAAAATTGGAAGTTTCGCCAGTTGGGATTCTTAAGTATCCATTCGTTTGTTTGAAACTTTGCTTCGTTACTGCGTTAGTGACTCCTGAATTATTACATGGTGAATCATAACACTCCTTCACGAGATCAACAAATGTTTCAATTACCGACGAAGTTAATGGAAGTTTCAACCAAAATTGTCGAGAATGAAAAGCCATAATGCTTCAACGAACAACACGATCCACAAATAAGCCGAAAACTCTTGAATCGCGCTTTTACTGCATTCTGAATTGACAAAACTTTTGTATATAATATGGACTTCGTGATCTGTAACGACTTCCGTTCTTTCAACAAAGCTTGTATTTTGAGACTCGTAGAATTTTTTGCATGTATCGGGAAATTTTAAATTCACAAGTGGCCAAGATGCATTCAAGTTTGGTTTTGATGCACTGGGGCAATTGACAACTGCTACACATTCAAAACTTCCTGATGTTACCTCCATACCAGCAACAAGAACGGATAAAATTCCTAAAAGTATCACTAAATAATCTGTTATAACATCCCAGATAGGCTTCAAAATCTTAAAATTTTGTTTTCCTTTCTTCCAGAAATATTCCATGGGCATCATCATCTTGATTAACTGATAAGAATTGAGTATTACGATCAGTAGATTTTGCAAAACGCTACGTTACACAATATATCAAATTCGCTTACTAGCGCTTCCGCATTTTGTCTGCACAGCAGGATAAATCGTTTAAATTACAAAGTTTGTATACGTTGGTTAGCAACTAAACTATTTCAGTCACTTCCTTTGTAAACACGAACACTCCCGATTTGCAATTCGTTCAAAGGATCGAGATTTAAATTACCGAGACAGTTAAAAATATTAAAAATAAACCAAGTTGTGGTAAAGTGAATCAAGTCACCATACCTTACTATAGACCCTTTGCAGTGACGTCACGCACGCTTAGCAACTGTTGCTGGGGGAGCATCTGGAGGACAAGCACTTGTGCATTGCTTTATATGTTAATATGGCTAGTAACATAAAGTCAGCGCTTTCTAGGTCAAAAAAAGGTTTTTTGCCTGGATATATAGAAAATATTCAGTGTAAGGATAGTAAAGCGCGTTACAAAATGAAATTAGGACATTGCAATGGAGATGATCCGTACGAAATACCAAAAAATCAATGGCTCGACGATATCGATCTGTGGCCTGCTGTCAGCTACATTCATGTTGGCATGTATTTATTATTTTCGGTCAGTGCGTACACGAAATAGCAGTTAAAAACTGTAAGAGTCTTGATAGTTATCAAAATTTTGTGAATGGATGGGTGCGTGAAGTGTTGGTGAAAAATATGATCATTGCTTGCTTATAGCTCAAAGCAGCTTGTCGCACCAACAGAGATTCACCTTCCAAGAGTCTGATCACAAGCATTTGCTATCCAGAGCTGAAGAAATTTTCAAATGCAGCAACAAGATGGGGTTGCCAGCATGAAGAGGTGGCAAGAGACAAATATCGGAAATGGGTAAACACAAACCATGAAAATGTTTCAGTAACAAACAGTGGATTCTGGATTCATTTGACCCATGGATCTCTTGGTGCTTCTCAAGATGGGCTTGTCTCTTGCCAATGTTGTGGCAATGGGATTTGGGAAATAAAGGTTTGTTATTCATTGTGTCTATGTTTCATGGGGGAAAGGTCAACATAATAATTACATCACCTGTTGATTTTGTTTTGATAGTGTCCATTTTGCCATAAAGATGAGACAGTTGAAACTTCAATAGATGAAAGGTTGTTTTGCATTGAAGTAAAAAGTGAAGGCACAAAACAGCTTAAAAGAGTTCATGCGTATTACTATCAAGTACATTTGTAAATTATTCTAATTTCATATAACAAGCTTAATGTATAGCAATTCACTTTCTTAAGTTATTGCTCAGTTGTCATGCACTAGTTTCAGCTAATGTGATTTTGTTGTATGGATAGAAAAAGACTTGTTTTCATAAATTCCTTTAGCAAGCTTAATGCATAGAAATTCACTTTTTTAGGTTATGGCTCAGTTGTCATGCACAGGTTTGAGCTACTGTGATTTTGTTGTGTGGACAGAGAAAGACTTGTTTGTTGAACGAATCTTTCAAAATAACGAATTTCTAGAAAGGAAGATAGAGGCAGCAAAGAAATTTGTGTTGAGGAGACTTCCAGAGTTAACTGGAAAATGGTACTGAAGACCCAAAAAATTGAATAAATGAAATATAATGAATCAAATGTCTTATAAATATTATTAGTACAATTTTAAGTGTATGCATGCAAAATCTTTTAAAAGATATTATTTAGTCATAAGGTAAGACAGAATCACAAATGTTAATTAGTGCACAGTTAACAGTAACTATTTTGTCTATTGTAGTGGGCTCATTTTCTTTAGAATTGACAAAATCAATTGGCTGAGTTGAACTCAGAAGTGTATATTTCTTTCTAAGGTTTCCAATCACTCTTTCCACATGAATCCTCACATTAGCAATTCGTCTGGTTTGTTCAACTTCAATGCCACTGAGCTGTTTTTTACCCTTAGTAAAAGCTGGCATCTTGATAGTTGCACAGTACAAACCAACTGACTCCTGGATATCAAAGCCTTTATCAACTAAGATTACATCTCCAGGTAAGAGCTTATCCAGGAGACCACTGTTCTCAGTCAAATGTTTGTCACTGACTCTTTCTCCCAGCCATTGGAAACAAAGCTTACTGTACACTGGGGGAGTGACAGCATTTAAGTACTTAATCGTGTTGTGGTGCTTGTAGGATGAGTAAGTTTGTGCCCTCGCAAGAGGATTTAATGCACGATCTAAAAAAATCTCAAAGCAGTCAATGATGGCAGCACATTTAGGGCAGTGTTTTCTAAAATCCATGGGCAAGGTCTTTCTTAAGGCTTCCCTATCAGGCCATAAAATAAGAGGGCTTAATCAATTATAAAGAACAATTACTTGTAAGAAAATTCTTGATACAGTTCCCTTGTTGATGTTTCCAAATCGATAAGCCAAATCTACACCAGTTAAATTAAAATACAGTTTCATAACTGTTAAAAGCAACTGCCTAAATGGTAACAAAGAGCATTTGGGAGAATGCATAAGGTAGGGGCGTACCAGTTCGAGTGTTGCTGACAAGATCTTCCAATTTGGCAGACCAGTGTAAAAGAGGACTTTTTCGTCATCATTTAAGAAAGATTTCTCGTCAAGTGTCATGTCACTTATCTTGTTTTTTAACTCAAGATTTTCTTAGGTCAAGCGATTTATCTTGCTTTTAATTGCAGTTATTTTATCCAAACTCAGTTCTCTTTGTGAATATTTGGTGTTCGATTCTGATTCTGACAATGAAGCAGATGTGGCTGATATGACTCCGTGTTCTTCGTCTACAAGATGGGTTGTCAAGGTCGATTGGGTCACTGCTGACAGTACTGTTTCAACGGATTCACTTTTTTTCGTTTTTCATTTCTTTCCGAAGTACGAGCATAGCGATCGACGTCAACTTTTTCCACATATGTATGTCCAAGATTTTGAGATGGAGCCCAGTCTCGATTAGTTTGGTCCGTTAAAGCCGATGGCTTCCTTGTCATTGTAAACAAAATAATAAATGGTATAAAATGACACAAACGAACACAACAAAGCTTTTTTCAACTCATTGGCTTACCAGTAACAAAATGAAGGCTACACACTCGTAAATACGTGCATTTAGAATCATCAATGTCTGCCCGACGAATTCTTCGAAGCCACAAAGAACGACGTTCCTTGTGTAAATCTTGCAATATTTTGCTTGCATTGGTTTTCACAGCTGGTATCCGATAAAAACTTAATTCCTTATCCCTATCAGCACGCTTCGAACAGCCATAAATTGCGCTAAAGTTAACCATCCTTGACAATAATATTGCTTTGTTATTTACATGTCGCGTTTGCTTGTCCTCCAGATGTAACGTCACCGGGATTGTGACGTCACATGCAATGGGTCTATTAGTATATAATATATTCATCTTGCATCCAGAACTCCTGTGGCTTAAAAACTGTCTACAATTATCGCATTCTGTCTTCACTAGAAAGTAAAGAATGCTCAGTTATCATGAGTATTCTGCTATATTTACAGGATTTATGTAAAAATTTGACTACAGCATGTAAAGTTGTTCTTATTGTTGGCTGACTTACAATTAAACGCACCAGAGATTGCTTCTTTCATTTTTTAGCCCTGGCAACTAAGTTTTGATTTATCCGGTTGCCGGTACGAGAGGTCTGGAGAGAGTTAGATGGATGTGTAAGAACTGCGAATTAAAACGAATAGAAAAAATCAAGAATTTAGCTGCATTACCTATAATAAAGCGAGACTTTGTTTACTTGAACTCTTTGCCTATAGCTACATTATAGTCGTGTAGTTATGCCATGTATTCATTGTTTAGTTTTTAATGATGCAAAGAATAGAATTATGAATAATTCCAAGGCACTTTTCAGCATTTACGTGTTCCCACCTGAACTCTCGGAGTGTATGAACAAGAATAATCACAACAGAAATTTTCTACGTTTCTTTATAGCAAGTACATCTAACTTCGAATATTAATGATGTTTGCCTGTAATATTCATTTCGATTGTGCGAACAATGGCGTGGCCAGCACGTTCATTTACTCGTGTTATTTGCAAACATTTTAGTTGGTCACTCACTGTAAAAACAATTAATATATAAATAAATGAAAAATGATAATGATCTAGTTGCACACTCAATGAGGGCAACATAAAAGTCCCACTCTCTCTAATCAAGGGCAACGACAATAGCGATAGCAGGATGACTAATAAATAAATTTAAATTAATCAAGCAATCATGTATTGAAAATATCGTCATGGAACAACTATGAAGATATTTTTTAAGTGCACTCGTTCAGTAAGAGTATAAGTGTGAGTGAACATAGTCATTGAACAACTATGAGGAGATTTTTTAAGTCCACTCGTTCAGTAAGAGTATAAGTGTGAGTGAACATCGTCATTGAACAACCATGAGGAGATTTTGAACTCCATTCGGTGACTAAGAGTATAAGTGTGAGTTAACATCGTCATTGAGCAACTATGAGGAGATTTTGAAGTCCACTAGGTGAGTATATGTATAAGACCTTAGGCATTTCAGTATAATTGATTCATTCGACTTTTTCTAGAGATGTTTAACAGTTTTCTATATAGCATAAGACCTTATAAAGATTATCAATTTTCAACATCGTTAAATTGTTTTATAAATCAATAAAACAGTTTAATGAATGTGTAGATAAACAATTATAAATTCTTGACAAAAACTAGTTTCTCCTTATGTGAATCATGTAATGTAATGTCATAACACAATTCTATTAAAGAATTTACTACTTAATCATAAATTTCTTTTATAATGAAATAAAAAAATACCATGGCAAAGTTTGGTATCGTAAACTATTCAAGTATTAATGGCCCTTGCCTGTAGTAGTCGTTTTGTTCGCTTGTGTGAACAGTGGCGTAGACAGCACGTTCATGTACAAAGGCTATGCAAATGTTTTGGTTGTAAAAACGATGAATATTTGAATGTATAACTGAACAATAATTTTGATCTTAAATTTACCAAACTAGCACGCTGGCTACCCTTACTGAATGTAGCATAAACTAAAAATATGACGGATTCTGAAATGCCGTCACAATCTAATTTGTAATCATCTTATGTTAGGGAGGTCAAAAGGTAAGTAGAATTATATTATTAATTTCCTTCGTTAATGTTTGTAAAAAGGTAAATGTTTACAAGCGATGCTGTAATTGACTAAAGTTCTTGCGTGTTTCCTGCTTTTTTACTATATATGATCTACATTTTCTGTTAAAGAATGACGTCACACCACCATTTTCATTCCTAAGATCTATACTGGAATGTCTACAGGTTGAAGGCACATGCGCTCAACAACTCGTTATCTTATATAAGTGAGGCATATCCTCTGCTGTTTTCCTCTTAAATGGATATAAATATGGAATTTTTGCCCTTTCTTCACTGTTCACAACACAAATAGTCCCTAAAGTTCATGTGCAACACACACGCGTACGTGCAAGGGCGTACCTATTTTTATAACCATAGTTCTCAATTTACATTATGACGTCAGACACATTAGTACGTCTTCATCAATCTCGTAAATCATTGGTGGAATTACTTTTGATGAAAGAGACTAAGACCTTTTCTTCAAAATCAGTCAAAAGTTTTCTTGTGAAGTGTTGAGCACAAGGAAAACTTGCAGTATGAACTAGGCAATTGACAACACTATGATTAAGTTACGCTGCAGTCTACAGACAATACCGAAATTTCATCTCAAAAAGTTTACATTGTAATGAAGACAATTGAGAATTCTGTTGCCCACAACAAAAAATATACAAAAAAACAGTCCACGGCGATGTTTACCTTTCATTTTTAATAACATATAAATAAACACAATGATACGCGTGCGCTGATTGGTCTAGAGCTGAGTTTGCATTAGCCAGTGTAAAACACATCTGAGCTCAACCAATCAAATTAACCTAAACAATCAATCAGTCAAAGAGAATTTGCAAATCGATCATGAATACATTTTAGAGGAAAAGTTAAAATGTTTGTCTTTTTCGCATTATTGTTATTTTATAAAAGAAATAAAAAAAATTTGTCGTATTTGCATTGGCTTAGGCAAACCTCGGAGATGTTTGTTAGAACTCTCGAGAATGTGCAACCCTCGTACTTTGGGCTCGGGCTTAGACTGATCTACTCTCGAGTTCTCTCAAGTGTCTCCTCGGTTTGCAAAAGCCTGTGCAAGCACAGTAAACATCTTTTATTTCTTAACTAGTGTTTAAGAATTTTCTATTTTAATCAAGTCTGTCGTAGTTTGCATCAGCGCCAACACAATTTGGTGCTGGCGTGCTGCAAGTTAACCGCCTTTATCACCTCCAGTAATTGGTCGTTCATAACTTGACTTTCTATCACGTGACTTACTCAACGAATGTTCATTGGATCAATTGAACGGTCCCTAAAGAATGCTGTTAACATATACAAAAATTGTGCGCCTTGAATTAATTTAAAACTGGTAAACTAAGTTCTAAACGATAAAGTGCGTAGTAACAAATTAGAATCTAAATTAACTTAAAAATGTTTTCGGTCTTAGTTTGGCTGAGTAAGATTGCGTAACCTTTTTTGCTCGTTATCATTCAGCTCGTCTAGTGTAGCTTTGTCCATGAGATGAGACGGACAAACCAAGTTTTGCAATTTTTCACATTTAAGGACCTCACGTAGAGCATTTATTTTCAAATTAGGATTGTGGCTAATGTCAAGTGACTTCAGATTTTCCAATTTTGACAACGAACCGGGATCAATGTCTTGGAGTTTGTTGTCGTTAACCTTGAGGACAGAAAGACTTTTCAACTTTGAAATGCCATCAGTAATATTCATTATTACGTTTCCATTGAGATGGAGCTCTTCGAGAGGTGCCATACTAAACACTTTCTCTGGAATAAACTTGAGGCCACATTCCACAATTAATAAACATTTCAGTTTGAGCTTCTGGAAGTTATCAAAATCATTCACTTCAAGATAACAGTTTCTAAATTCAAGGTTCAAAAGGTTTTCGGAAATTATAGGATCAAAAATCGTATGAGGAATTCCTGGAAGAGTATTAAAAGACAGTTTTTTGTCTTTATCTAACATAACCCTAAGATCTGCAACTGGAAATCTTACGTTAAAAGCATGAGCCATAATCTTCTTTTTCATCTCTTCAGAAAGAAAACGAGCGAATCTTATAACGTACATGTTGTTGTAGTAATGCAATAGATGCAGTAGAAAACCTAGATCTTCCTTTACCGGATCTATGTTGGGAAAAATATATTCATAGTTTTTACGATGCATTTTAACTGTCCAAACAAATATGAAAAAGAATATCACTCCACTCACTGCCAAAACTCCGTTATAAATATGAACAATATAATGCATGGCAGGAGCTAGGTTATGGGAGCACAAAAAATAATCGTGAGGGATGGGAATGTGTTGAGTCAGTGTACACGTCATCGTGTCTTTTAAATCTTTCAAGTAAAAATTATTAATAACTAGAAACATTATTACGGAAAGTGTTTGAAACACACTTTTGATAGTGTAAATATTCGAAATTTTTTCAATGAAATGAGATGACGATATGTTTTCCCTTAGCTTTTGCACTTTCTCGTACAAACCCATCAACGCAGTTGTAGAGGAAGTGTCTGGAACGAAATCAAAACTGTTGTCAGAAGTATCGTTGTTTGACACTCTGATATAGTTGTCTGTTCGTTTGTGTCTTTGCTGAAAAAGTGCTAAAGTGACTGTGAAATTAGTACATGGTGAATTGTAACACGCCATCACGAGATCAACAAATGTCTCAATTACCGAGGAAGTTAAAGGAAGTTTCAGCCAGAAATTGTCGAGAATCAAAAGCCACAACGCTTCAACGAACAAAAAGATCCACAAATACGACAGGTAGTTTGGAATCACCGTTTTACTGCATTCTGAATTGACAAAACTTTTGTATATAATATTAACTTTATGATCTGTAACGACTTCCGTTCTTTTGCCAAAGCTTGTAGTTTGAGACCGGTAGAATTTTTTACATGTATCGGGAAATTTTAAATCTGTGAGAAGCCAAGATGCATTTAAATTTGGTTTTGACGCTTTGGGACAATTGACAACTGCTACACATTCAAAACTGCCTGATGTTACCTCCATACCAGCAACAAGAACGGATAACATTACTAAAAGTATCACTAAATAATCTGTTATAACATCCCACCAAGGCTTCAAAATTTTAAAATTTTCTTTTCCTTTGTTCCAAAAATATTCCATGGGCAGCATTTTGATAAATTTATAAAAATTGAGTATTACGATCAGTAGATTTTGCAAAACGCTACGTTACACAGTATATCAAAATCGCTGACTAGCGCTTCCGCATTTTTTCTCCACAGCAGGATAAATCGTTTAAATTACAAAGTTTGTATACGTTGGTTAGCAACTAAACTATTTCAGTCACTTCCTTTGTAAACACGAATACTCCCGATTTGCAATTCGTTCAAAAGATCGAGATTTTAAATACCAAGACAGTTAAAAATATTAAAAATAAACTACGTTATGGTAAAGTGAATCAAGTAAACATACCTTACTGTTAGTATATAATATATTCATCTTGCATCCAGAACTGCTGTGGCTTGGAAAATGTCTACAATCATCGCATTCTGCTTTCACTAGTAAGTTTAGAATGCTCAGTTATCGAGAGTATTCTGCTATATTTACAGGATTTACGTAAAGATTTGACTACAATTGGCTGACTTACACTTAAACTTACTGGAGATTGCTTCTTTCATTTTTTAGCAATGGTAACTAAGTTTTGATTTATCCGGTGGCCGGTAACGAGAGGTCTTGAGAGAGTTAGACGGATGTATAAGAACTACGAATTAAAACGACCTGAAGAAATCAAGAATTTAGCTGCATTACCTATTATAAAGCAAGACTTTGTGTACTTGAACTCTTTGCCTATAGCTACATTATAGTGCTGCAGTTATGTTATGTATTCATTGTTTGGTTTTTAATGATGCAAAGAATAGAATTATGAATAATTCCAAGGCACTTTTCAGCATTTACGTGTTCACACCTGAACTCTCGGAGTGTATGAACAAGAATAATCACAATAGAAATTTTCTACGTTTCTTTATAGCAAGTACATCTAACTTCGAATATTAATGATGTTTGCCTGTAGTATTTAGTTCCCTCGATCGCTTGTGTGAACAATGGCGTGGCCAGCACGTTCATTTACTCGTGTTATTTTCAAACATTTTAGTTGGTCACTCACTGTATAAAAAATTAATATATAAAGAAATAAAAAATGATAATGATCTAGTTCCACACTCAATGAGGGCAACATAAAAGTCCCGCTCTCTCTAATCAAGGGCGACAACAATAGCGATGGCAGGATGAATAATAAATAAATTTAAATCAATCAAGCAATCATGTATTGAAAATATCGTCATCGAGCAAATATGAGGAGATTTTGAAGTCCACTCGGTGAGTAAGAGTACAAGTGGGAGGAAAATTTTAGAATTCTGGTGTGAATTTACCAAACACGACCCAACTGGCAGACTGGCTAACCTTGCTGCATGTAGCATCATAAAATAAACAGAATGAAACGCGTGCGCAGCATGATTAGTCTAGAGCTGCACTGTAAATTTTAAGGTGTTAATTTAACACTAAAAAGTCGTGTTAAATTAAAAGGTACAGAATAACACCATTTCGGGTGTTATTTTCTTACTGGTGTTAAATTAACACCGAGTTTGGTGCTAAAATAGCGCCTATTCTTGGTGTTATTATAGCACTTGTTAAAGTGCTAATTTAGCCCTTAACGTCCGGTGTCAAAATGACACTTAAATTCGGTGTTATTTTGTAACCCCTTTTCTTATTGTTTTTTGTAAGGCCAGTTAAACACGCGACACAAAAATGCTGAGCATTAAATATATTTAAAAAAATCAGATGATTTAGATGCATGTATTCACACATATAAATATATACAAAACATAAAACATACTATAAACAAGTCAATATATGAAACAAGTAAAGTTAAATGTATATATATATAACTAAATATATAAAACATCTTAGAAATACTACTATATTATAATCTCTAAAGCCTCAAACTTTTCACAAACTTTTGAACTGAAACCCTTTTCTTTGCATTTGCGGGCTTACCCATCAAATCTACTTCCAAAAGGGCATAAATGTTACAGGCCTTTGGTGTATACTCCATATTAAGTATATAAAATGTACCTAGAAGTAGTACTATAGACAATGAAATTTCTATATTTTTTTTGACAGATTTAAAAAAATTTGCCCTTCAGTAGCAATTACAAGGGGGTCCAGACTCCCTAATTCTCCCGATCCAATTAGTCGTGGGTAGGTGGTGTTTGCTATTTCATCATCAAAAGAGTCATCTTCCTAAACAACAGCATCAACATAAACACAATTAGAATTACTAGGTCATTGAAAGTGAGACACAATATTGTCTTGTCATGACAGTAATATAATTGTATTTTTATTAAAGCATACATAAAATTTTATCCATGCAGTTTTTATATAGTTTCGGTATCTATTACTTACGCAGCAGATCTTGAAAACTAAGCAATTTGCCGTGGATTTTTCATTCAACACATCCTGAATAATCAATGCTGTAACTGCACTCCTTACATCTGCAAAATATACAACCAACTTATTAATAATTACAGTATACGCATTTTGTCATTGTAGATTTAAGTGCTCATGCTTTAAGATGAAACTCTACAGTGGTGGATCGAGCATAGAGTTTTTAGGGGGGGCTTGGTTTTGTGAGCAACTAAAATCCGAATGCTAGAAACAAATAAATTTGCTAAATATTTTATATATAATAATAATAAATGTTCAGCGTTAATTAAAACTTAAAAGTCATGAAAATGCCATTTTTATCCCTCTATGCACCACGCTGTTGACGAGAGCTTAGAGAAGCACCCTGTGCACCCTCCCATAAATCCAATGCTGGAACTCCGTAAATGGTCAGACTTAATTGAATACACATACCAGCTTCCTTATTAGGTTTTTGCAACAGCATGGCTTCCATCTCTGACATCAATATTTTTATGTGTTTGTTGTCACTATTGCCTGCCCATTTCATTACATTTTGAACCATGTTATTGTAATGGATAATCATGTTGCTGGCTTCATTTTCGTCTGCCAAAATTCGACCAAATTCTGCTTTTACCTATTCCAGTTGCAAAAATACAAGTTACAAAAAAAAGCAAGTTTACTGCAAGATGTCAACTACAACTGGTAAAATTAGCTGCCCCCATGATTTTGAGGATAGTTCTATGCAATAGTTCTGTTCAAAAAATATTTATTCTTACCTCTGAAACAAGCTGAAGAGCTGGATACTCAGTCATTAGCTCATTCAACACTTTTGGTTCATTTATAAATTTTTGGCGCCGGTAGGGGTTTGTTCAACTCCATGAGCTCTTTCATTAGTCGATATTTTTTGTTTGTTTTCGTCATCTCGGTTACCATGGCTTTTTTATGTTCTTCGCACGTTTCTGCAGTCTCACCATTATCCATATCATAAACATCATACAGCTTACGTCTTTTCATTTTTGCTTCTGGCTGCTTTTGTGTAGTTTGAGACACACAAACAGATCTTGTTGTTGAATTTGTCTTCTTTCTACGCATGTTTTTGAATCGATTAGTGATTGCTTTCAACCATGACCCCTGTAACGAAGAAAGTTCATGCTGTACATTATAAGAGATAGCGAGAAAAGCTATAGGATTTCTTCTAAAGATTATCTTATGCATTAAATATTATGAATATGACTTACTGTACCAGCTCCAAGTGAATCGACAAGAAAAGTATATTTTTCTACAATCATGGACGCCACTCTTTGTTTTTCTTCTCTGGATGGAAACATTGTATGAGCTTTAATAGAAGAACAAATGTCCCTAGTAAACTCATCCCTAAGGTTTCCATTAAGTTTTCCTGCTTGCAGTGCTTCATGCACTCTTGGAGAAAACTGTAAAATACAAAAGATAAATTTTAACATCAGAATGTGACCTATTATGAGGTATATTATTTAACATACAGAAATAGGAAGTTTAAAATCTTTTATCCAGCTCTTGTTCGGTTTCCTTTCTTCCACAAGTACAAAGCTTGGTGAAGGTTGATCACTCTTTTCAGATGCTATGGTATAACGAGGTGTACTGGATGTTGTAGGTGACGGTGTGCCTGTTGACAAATGAGCTTCTTCAATTGACGCTGAAGAATTGCTGACATTGTCATTTATGGCAAAGGAATGACTAGTGGATAAAGCGATCTTCTGGGTGGATGGTTCAATGGTGGATGGAACATTTCTTAATGGTAGAAACTTGTCCAAGTTGTTAATCGTTGCCAATGAATTTTTGATTCGTATAACTTGCCTCCTTTTATGCCACATGCCTTCAACAGCTCATTAGATGTATTGTTTATAATACCAGCTGAATCAAACTATTCAAGTACAAAAAATCAAAATTAAATTAAAAAGATATATGTATGTTAATGACTGAGCGAGAGGTTCGTACAGGAGGATACTGGTCGAGTTGTTTTTTCGCTTGTACTGACCGAGACTTTGGGGAGGTCCATTCAAGCGAAAAAAGAACAGCCATTTGATGTTTGGATTGGGCTTTGACCAATCAGAACGCGCGTGAAATAAATTTAAAAATGTTTTCCAGAGATCCCAAACGGCCAGAGGCCAAAGGCCGTTTTTTATGTCGAGAGGAACTATTTTTCTATTCGGACCGAAATATAAACGGTAAATAACGTATTTATTTTTTGTCAAGCGGTTATGGCAGTTGTGCCATAATGTAATCTTGAATTTCATGCGTAAAACTTTCGTCCCTTTCATCCATGTTTACGTTTTCTGCTATATTTTCGCTAACATTTTCCACGATATTTCCAAGCTCGTCGGCATAGCAAAACTCGCTTTTCGAGTTTCAAACTATCATTCAAATCCATTGTTAAAAACGTTTTCCAAATAACTTTTTTAAATTACTAAAACAGCTTAATTTATTGGCTTTAACATTTGCCAGGATTCCGCGGACCGGAGTAAAAAAAATGAAGTAATTTATTCGAACATCAACTTAGCATGCCGCAATAATAATGATTTGGTATTTTTACTTCATAGTCTAATGTAGTTTGGAACCACAGCAGTTGAACTTTCACTCATAATGCTTGACGTCTTAGATTACTTAGTCATTTTTATCTTTACATTTTATTTCCCTCAATAATTTCCCACTAAATTCAAGTATTGTTTTTCGGTATGGAGTCCATATTTACCAAGCAGTGTTAACAAAAGCAACAAAAGTCGTCTAGTCACAACGTCAACACGCAAAATTCATGCACTCGTGCTAAATTTAATTTTATACACATACCTCTTCATCTTCAAGAATAGAAATTACACTGTCCTTTACCCCTGCCTTCTTAAGATTATCAAGCAACGTGGAATCCATCCGACCTTAAACGTATAAAATTTGTAAAACACAAATACAAAAATTTCTACATGAAATATAAGCACGAGGAGAAGTATGTGTCACAAGAAATTTCATAAGAAAATACATTCAAAAAAGCTTTGTATTTACCTTTTTAAAAGAAGGGAGATCGTCGAAAGCAAATAACTTAAATCCAATGGCTCTTTAAGCCTTGTAATATTGACTTTTACGTTTAGTTCATAATAAAATATAATTTGACAACGCTGCACAAACAGGTGAAATCACGATGAAAATCATGAAATGAAATATGATCAGTGTGACAGTGACAGTTGGCTATAAGCATTTTACCGCGTTTTTGCATATAGTCGCTAATATCACATTTCACACCATATATGGTAACAGAGTTGAGCCGGCACTCTCTTCAGAAGTGAATTGTATTCTTGAAGTGAATTATGTCATGGAGCGTCTATATCGATGTAATATTTGCCTAGAATTCGTTTCAGATTCTCTTCAATTACTAATAACACATTTTTGCCGTATTCATCGTGATGAACCAAATTTTCATGTTGTTTGTGGCATCGATGGCTGTGCCAGGACGTTTAAGAAATTTTTCTCATTGAGAAATCCCCTTATTCGAAAACATAACATCGTGCGCAATACGAGGAACAGCGCAGAGTTGAATACTGATAGGGGAAACGGCAATGCTAATCAAAATCATGATATTGATAATACAGACCCTGAACAGGAAGAAGAGTTACTTTTAAGTTTTAATGAACTCACAAAGCCAAGGTTCCCCCTATAAAATCCATGCTTAATCCATCTCTGGTTAATGTAAAATATGTATTGCCGCTATTTTTTACGAAGTTTTTAAACTGTTTAAATGAACGCATAAGTCAACTGTTCTGTTATCCGTGTCAGAACGAAAACAGCTGCAGTTTGATATAAGTATAAAAATAAGTTTAAAAAACAGTTAAAATGAGTGTTATTTTGACACCCATGATTTTACAAGGAGAGTGGTGCAGAAATACCGCCCTTTATAAATTATTGTAACTCTTGCTAATGGCGTTAATTTAACACCAACCACTTAACACCTAAAAACAGTGTTACTTTAGCACCTTTGTGGCAGAAGAAGGTGCAGTTCAGCACCATTCATTGGGTGTTAAAGTGTTGAGGTGTAAATTTAACACGCTACAATATGTTTAAGGTCATATGTTGTTAAATCAACACCAATATTGGTGTTATAATAACACCTTTTATTTAACACCACCGGTGGGTGTCAGTTTAGCACTAGAGAAAGTGCTAGTTCAACACCCCAAAAATAACAGTGTGTGTTTGCATTAGCCTATGCAAAACGATCTGAGCACAACCAATAAAATCATTCAATCAATCAAAGAGAATTTGTAAATCAATCATGAGTACACATTAGAAGAATACAAAACGTATTTGTGTTTCGCACTATTGTTATTTTATAAAAGAAATAAAAGATGTTTTTCGTGTTTGCCTTGCTTATGCAAACCTCGGAGATGTTTGTGGGAACACTCGAGCATGTGCAACCCTCGTGCTTCGGTCTTGGGCATGCATTTATCGACTCTCGAGTTCTTCCAAGGGTCTCCTCGGTTTGCATAAGCCTGTGCAAACACAGTAAACATCTTTTATTTCTTAACTCGTGTTTAAGAATTTTCCATTGTAATGAAGGCTGTAGTAGTTTGCATTAGCACCAAGACAATTTGGTGCTGGCGTGCTGCAAGCCAACCGCCTTCATCACCTCCAGTAAATAGTCCTTCATAACTATACTTTCTACCACGTGGCTCACTTAACGAACGTCTATTGGATCAATGGAATTAATGGATCAACGGATCAATGGATCAATTGCTAAAGAATGCTATTAACATAAACAAAAATTGTGTGCTTTGAATTAATTTAAAACTGGTAAACTGAGTTCTAAACAATAAATTGTGTAGTAATGTTGATTAAACCTACAAATTAGCCTCTAAATTAACTTAAAAATGTTTTCGGGCTTAGTTTGGCTGAGTAAGATTGCGTAACCTTTTTTGCTCGTTATTATTCAGCTTGTCTAGTGTAGCTTTGTCCATGAGATGAGACGGACAAACCAAGTTTTGCAATTTTTCACATTTACGGACCTCACGTAGAGCATTCTTTTTCAAATTAGGATTGTGGCTAATGTCAAGTGACTTCGATTTTCCAATTTTGACAACAAACCGGGATCAATGTCTTGAAGATTGTTGTCGCTAACCTTGAGGACAGAAAGACTTTTCAAATCTGAAATGCTATCAGTAATCTTCTTTATGAGGTTTCCATTGAGATGGAGCTCCTCGAGCCATGCCACACTAAAGACTTTCTCTGGAATCAAATCGAAGCCACACTCCACAATGAATAAACATTTCAGTCTGATAAGCTTCTGGAAGTTATCAAAATCATCTGTTTCAAAATTACAATTGCTGAATTTGAGTGTAATGAGTTTTTCGGGAATTAATTGCTCAAACATTTTGGGTGGAATTCCTGGAAGACGAGAAAAAGACAATTTTTCTTTTGGTCTAAAGTGGTTTATAGAACTCAACAGGAAATGCATCAGCCAAAGTCTCCTTTGTGCTCACTTCGGAAAGAAAATGAGCAAACCTAATGACGTACATTTTATTGTAGGCGTGCAATAAATGAAGAATAAAACCAAGATCTCCATCTTCTGGATGTATATGTGATAATTGAATACCACTTCGTTGACGTATTTCAATGGAAAAATCATATTTGCATTTCTTACAAAGCAACACAAATCTTAAAAAAACTATTCTAAGGAATACCACTCCACTCAATGCCAAAAACGCAACATAAACATAAACAATACAATTCATGGCCGGAGCAAGGTTATGGGAACATAGAAAATAATCGTGAGAGATGGGAATGTGCTGAGTCAGTGTACACGTCATTGTGTCTTTTATGTGTTTCATGAAATAAATATTAATGACGAGAAATATTATTACTGAAATGAGTTGAAGCACACTTTTATATGTATAGAGATTCGAAACTTTTGTAATGCAACGAGATGATGATATGTCTTCCTTAAGCGTTTGCACTTTCTCATACAAGCCCAGTAACGCACTCGTATTTTCTGGAAGGAAATTGGCAGAATTGCATTGATCTGTAAAATCGGAAGTTAACGTATTTGTTTGTTTGTTTGAAATTTTGCTTCATTACTGCGTGAGTAACTCCTGAATTAGTACAAGGTGAGTCGTAACACTCCTTCACGAGATCAACAAATGTTTCAATTACCGACGAAGTTAAAGGAAGTTTCAACCAGAAATTGTCGAGAATAAAAAGCCATACTGCTTCAGCGAACAATACGATCCACAAATAAGCCTAAAAGTCTTTAATCGCGCTTTTACTGCACTCTGAATTGACAAAACTTTTGTATATAATATTGACTTCGTGATCTGTAACGACTTCCGTTCTTTCAACAAAGCTTGTATTTTGAGACTCGTAGAATTTTTTACATGTATCGGGAAATTTTAAATTCACAAGTGGCCAAGACGCATTCAAGTTTGGTTTTGATGCACTGGGGCAATTGACAACTGCTACACATTCAAAACTGCCTGATGTTACCTCCATACCAGCAACAAGAACGGATACATTACTAAAAGTATCACTAAATAATTAGAAAATTAAACGAGACTTACCTGAAGTCGAAGTTTGATTGAAATTCTATGAGTTACTGTTCAGGAACTAGGAAGTCATGTGAGATAGAGCCCGCGATATCAAGATCAGTTTTTAAAAATTTGCGAACGTCCACATAGATATTGGGAGGCAAGTAGTATTTAACATCATTTGAAAAGAAGTAAGTTAGTAGTTGGGTGGGTGACTTCCTAGTTCCTGAACAGTAACTCATAGAATTTCAATCAAACTTCGACTTCAGGTAAGTCTCGTTTAATTTTCTAATTCTATTTCGTCACTGTTCTACGTCACTAGGAAGTCATGTGAGATTTTAAAGCAATGTGGACA